CCCCCCCCCCCCCCCCCCCCCCCCCCCCCCCCCCCACCACACACAAACAGCGAGTGATTCTACTCTACACACACTCTACACACACACACACACACACACACACACCACCACAGCCCCAGTATCTTCAGAGGTAAACATGGCTCCCTCCAAATAATTATAACAATTAATAACAATATTAAAATATTGTGACAAACAAAATTGGTCAAAAGTTAGACCAGAGAAAATTTTGCCATTCCTACATATATTACACTGAAATATTCCTCCTCGCTACAAATTTAGAATTGCTGAGAAAAAAACACGATCTGTTGATCAAGCCAATCCTTTATAATGGTATTTTCTTGATTTTTTCCAGTTAGCACAGCTGCCGACCCCCATACACCAGTGGAACATTCCTGGCATACCATCTACATTTTCTCTCCACATCAAGAGAGATGACCTGACAGGCAGTACTCTGTCTGGTAACAAGGTTAGTCTCATTTGTTTAAAAATGTAACAAGTCTCAAACGAAAGTGTTAAATTAAGATAAAAATGACCAAAATTATGAACTTACTGCGCAAAACCAAGCCGAATCTTCATTTGTTGTCCTTCGTCGAAACACGCCTCCTCGAAATGCGCGCTACAGATAGCAGAGTTGTTTGCCACAGCTACTTTCGCGTCTAAGTCCCACACTCGTGTTAAATTTACAAACTTTTTCCACTTCTGGGCTACTGTTAGGTCTTTTGGAAATGTGTGCATCGAAATGCCTTCATTTTCACTTGTGTTCGAGCACCCGCCGACAATGCAACGTTTCACCATGTTTACTGTGTCTCAGAACTGACGAGTTATCTAAGCGGGGCCCGTCTGAGGGGTTCCCCTCATGACGTCAGGAATATTTCGCGGGAAAGCGCTGCACGCTCAATTAACATTGATTGGGGAATTTGTGAGCATTCATTTTAAGTTCATTTGTTTTGATTAACATCGTGTTAGATGTCTGGAACTTAAAATACGGGTAGAAACACCTACCAAGTTGCACTTTAAAGCTTTAAGCCCTGTGGCTCATCAGAATGTTATATACATAAAATAAGGGGCAGACAGAACCCATCTTCTGGGTCTTCCAAAAGACTGAAATTTACAAGTTTACATTGATAGACATCTAATTTTTTCTGTTGGTCAAAATGGATGATGGATAGTTAGGGTATCTGTCAGAAAATATCTCTGAATCCACCCCTAAAAATGTACAAAATGAAATTGTAACCAAAGATGTAAAAGATTATAAGAAAATCTCATAGTTTGGTCGATAGTTTTTAATGTTGCTGATTGTGTCAAGGCCTTATGATTACTATCCTTTTGCTTTCCATTTAACAGGTGCGGAAGTTAGAATTTCTCCTTGCAGATGCCTTGATCAATAATTGCAAGCATGTGATCACTTGTGGTGGGATTCAATCCAATCATGTCAGAGCAACAGCCGTGGCTGCAGCTCAGCTTGGAATGCAGAGCCATCTGTTGCTAAGAGGAGATGTCAAAGTGAGCGTCACGTCAGTTTGACAGTATCATTCTTATGCTAGTATCTCATGGTGATTTTGTTGATTTTGCCATATTAACTGTGGGTAAATAATGTGTAAGATTGGATTTCAAATTAAGCTTTGAATTTAGTCAGAAAGGTTAAGACTGATTCAGTGACTTTCCTTGAGAGACAACAGGACATTTTATGTCAGTCTAATTATTAACTTAACTTTTAATCACAAATGTTAATGTTTCTTTTTCTTTTCCCAAACTTACAAAAGAAACATTTCAGAAAAAAAAAATAGATCATTATTGTTCTGTGTAAATTTAGATAATAAAAATTGCAAAAGATTACAACACCAGAAATGTGCAAAAATAGTTAGCTGTATTTTAGTTTATTTATTTTTTTATTATTATTATATTTTTTGGTTTCAGCATGAAGAGGACATAGGGTTTGATGGCAACGTGTTGTTGAATAGACTTTGTGGGGCAGAAATGTATATTGTACCAAGGAAGTCTCCTTACCTTACTCATCTCAAACCAAAGATGGAGAAAATTGCCAATCAAATAAAGTAATTATTCAAGTTACTGCAATCTACATTGAAATGTCTTTTCTTATTGGAGAATATTTTCAGATTTAAATTTGAGCAGTTTCTTAATTCCATAATGACATGTCATTTATTAATGTGCTTGAAGGCAGTTGAAAAGATTAATTTTGATTGATATCATTAAAAGTTGAGAGGCAGAAGTATGTGCTCTTCTCTCATTCATTTTCATTTTTTTTTCATGGTTGAAATCAGCAGTTGGTTTGTTTGTTGTTTTTTTTGCATAATATTAATAATTTAATGTTATAACTCTCCCTTCATGACTTTATTTCTGTAGATTAATTAGGAGTTGGTTTAGATGAGATGGAGGTATGCATGATAAACTATTGCCTGAAGACTACTGTTCCAGTATAAAATTCTACATAAGATTATCTTTCCTTTTTAGAGACGAGAGAGGAGAAAATTCATATCTCATACCAGTAGGAGGATCTAATGTTGTTGGACTGTTTGGGTACATAACGGCTTTCCAGGAAATGATTTCCCAGGTAAAGTTAAAGAAATTAGGTTTAACAATGTGGTTTAGGGGAAGGGGAGTATCAGTGTATGTATTCCCAGCTGTTTATTCAAAGTTATGTGTTTGGATAATGTGCATAAGGTTAAATTAAAGATGGCATCAAAAATATTTTGTTTCTGATAAAAAAAAGATTAATATCTAGTTTCAATGAGCTATGGAAAGTCAGTGTGGAAAAATATAGATAGAAACACCTTTTTGAAAAAAATTTCTTTCCCTGTATCTGTTGCATTTTAGAATTTTTCTTCCAGTCATTTGCTAATAATTATGACAATAAACACATTTTGAAGTAAAGAACTAATTCCACTGCAGGGTATCCAGAGAGATTTTGATGACATTGTCTTTGCCTGTGGCAGTGGAGGCACAGCTGCAGGCCTGGCATTGACCAACTACCTCACTGGCTCCAGGCTGAGGTAAGTGTACGTCAGATTTAAGGTAGTAATAAACAGTAAATTGTCAAAATTTGGGTGTTTTTCTGAATTTGTCAGTATTAGATAGATGAAATATCAACTACATATCAGCCTATCTTAAAATAATGGAAGTTTACAAATAAACCAGTAATTTTAGCCTAATTGCTGATTTACCCCTGTGGTAGCGTGTCTGAGTTTTAAAGTAGGTCACACTTGTCCATATATGTGTTTGATTGGCAGCTCCACTGTGCAGCTGTATATTTCCCGTACTAGATTGCTGCTAAGCCTTTCACATTCTGTGAGTAACGTCGCGCTTTCACTTGCCAAACAATACTTTTCATTTTGAATTTATCAGTGAACTTAATTCTGACGATCTATTAAAGCTTTAAAAAGCAGACATATAGATGAGACGTATATGGGCAAAGGCACTCCCCCTAGGTGTCACGTGGTGAATAAGGCTGACGTCACGACTAACATGGTGGCTGCTGTCAATGCATGGAGGGGGCCTCCGGTTGCAAAAGTTCAATAATAATGTTGAAAATGGATGAAAGACATAGTGACAGTTACATAGGCAGTGAGTAGAGGGCTGAACCAGTATAAATAACTAAATTTCTCAGCTTGCCAATGCAGCTCACTGATTATATAACGTTGGAATCTCCGGGGAGCACTAAAAGGCTGATTTCTCCGCTTCAGTTTATGGCTTCAAGAGAACGATTTAGACCAGTGTCAAAATTAATTAGAACTCTCAACCGATGAAAGCTGGTATTCATTCGTTAGATCTAAGGTTTGTCTGAAAGTATGCGTCTGGGATTTCATAACATCAGCTCCGTTTTCAACTTAGGCATGCTTTAGTTAGGCTAGGGGGTCTCGTTGAACTGGAAACCAAGTTTATTTTGATATCTCTGCTAATTCAACACATATCGCTAATTTGAGGCGCATTCTTGTTGATCCCTATGAGGGCTCACGAGTCAAGCTGTCTACACGTCCATTTGTAGTGGACTTCTAGTTTTTAAGGTGTAAAGATCATGTTGAGCACACCTATTAAGCATTATATCTCATTACGTAACAATTACATAATAAAATAAGGATATGAAATGAAGAGCTGTTGAAATTAGCTTTCTATTGATATGTAACATGTTGGTATATCTTGGCCGGTTTAGAAGATAGCTACCCCTGTTATCTACATCCTTAAGTTCTAAAAACAATTAAAGTTATTAAATTTTCTTTGGTCCTTACCCGCCATCCTAGATTGTCCATGCATTAGCTTGCACTTAACAAAAATGAAATAATGATAATAATAATAGTAATAATAATAATAAACAAAAACTATATTGATACAGATTAGATGTTCTGTGTTTGAATTTCAAGGATTCATGCAGTTATAGTCAGTGATGACCCAAAGTACTTCCATGACCACATTAATGAGACCCTAGAGGCTACTGGTATTACAGATACCAAATCCTGTGACATTGTTGACATTATAGATGGCTACAAGGGGAAGGGATATGGTTTATCTACAGAAGAGGAGCTAGGTTAGTATGAAGGTTATCAAGAGAACTCAAATTATATATGATGGAAATTTAGAAGTTGGAGTTAAAAAGTATTCAGACTATCAGACATAATATTAGCTGCTTTTAGACTGGTTTTGAAAGCTGGATGGCAAAACTTGGGAATTGAATCCAATATCATGCAGTTCTTCATCATCAATCCACCCATATACTCTTGGGACTCTTGGGACCATTAGCATACAGATTCTCTGTCTAAATAAAATCTAGAATCAACGTCCTGGGGTTAAAATTGAAACAGATCTTAAAAATATTCCTACTAAAATCTACTAGACAAAAACGACTTATTTAAAGAAATGAAAGAAGTAAATGAATGAAATGCCATTACAGATTGTATTATTTTATCTCCAAATCAAGGTTACCAAGAAGCAAAAAATATTTTGTTTACACATTTTGGTCAGTGGCATATTGTTATATGCAATCTCATCCATAGGTGTACTGCAGGTCCAGCTTTGAAGCCACACCAATGTTCAGAGTTATCACAGTTAGCTAGCTGAGTCAAATCGTTGTGTACTGTTGTTTAACAGAACCATGGTGATAAGGGCATGTGAGTTTCTTAGTGATGTTGTTTACTTGGATTTTCCTGTTGAGGTTTTTCTCACAAAAATTTTATCAGCTGTGTTATGTTGTAAAAATGAAGTCATTTTTCTTCAGCCAACAGCTTAATATTGAAAAAGTTTTTACCTCCAATATTTCATTGTCTAGCAGAACATCTTCATCAGGGAATGAGGCTATGAGGTCTTTCTGCAGAAACCTAGCATTGTCAAGATTTTGGCAAGTGCCAAGTTAGGGTGGCACACTGAGTGTTGTGACAGCTACAGTGAAAACCTCTTTAGCAAAGTCTCTTGGAAATACCTTCCTCTGAACTATTTCAACAATTTCATTTGTCGCTTGAGTGATTTCGTCCACTGTTAGAGGTCCTGTTCTAACTTCAGCACGATTTCGCAGTAAAGACTTAAAACATTGTATCCAAGCTATGGTTTTTTGTAGCTTGTACAACTGTGAGTATCTGTTCATCACTTCTTCCAGCTTATTTTCTACAGTCTGAGATGCAGAANGTTCAATAATAATGTTGAAAATGGATGAAAGACATAGTGACAGTTACATAGGCAGTGAGTAGAGGGCTGAACCAGTATAAATAACTAAATTTCTCAGCTTGCCAATGCAGCTCACTGATTATATAACGTTGGAATCTCCGGGGAGCACTAAAAGGCTGATTTCTCCGCTTCAGTTTATGGCTTCAAGAGAACGATTTAGACCAGTGTCAAAATTAATTAGAACTCTCAACCGATGAAAGCTGGTATTCATTCGTTAGATCTAAGGTTTGTCTGAAAGTATGCGTCTGGGATTTCATAACATCAGCTCCGTTTTCAACTTAGGCATGCTTTAGTTAGGCTAGGGGGTCTCGTTGAACTGGAAACCAAGTTTATTTTGATATCTCTGCTAATTCAACACATATCGCTAATTTGAGGCGCATTCTTGTTGATCCCTATGAGGGCTCACGAGTCAAGCTGTCTACACGTCCATTTGTAGTGGACTTCTAGTTTTTAAGGTGTAAAGATCATGTTGAGCACACCTATTAAGCATTATATCTCATTACGTAACAATTACATAATAAAATAAGGATATGAAATGAAGAGCTGTTGAAATTAGCTTTCTATTGATATGTAACATGTTGGTATATCTTGGCCGGTTTAGAAGATAGCTACCCCTGTTATCTACATCCTTAAGTTCTAAAAACAATTAAAGTTATTAAATTTTCTTTGGTCCTTACCCGCCATCCTAGATTGTCCATGCATTAGCTTGCACTTAACAAAAATGAAATAATGATAATAATAATAGTAATAATAATAATAAACAAAAACTATATTGATACAGATTAGATGTTCTGTGTTTGAATTTCAAGGATTCATGCAGTTATAGTCAGTGATGACCCAAAGTACTTCCATGATCACATTAATGAGACCCTAGAGGCTACTGGTATTACAGATACCAAATCCTGTGACATTGTTGACATTATAGATGGCTACAAGGGGAAGGGATATGGTTTATCTACAGAAGAGGAGCTAGGTTAGTATGAAGGTTATCAAGAGAACTCAAATTATATATGATGGAAATTTAGAAGTTGGAGTTAAAAAGTATTCAGACTATCAGACATAATATTAGCTGCTTTTAGACTGGTTTTGAAAGCTGGATGGCAAAACTTGGGAATTGAATCCAATATCATGCAGTTCTTCATCATCAATCCACCCATATACTCTTGGGACTCTTGGGACCATTAGCATACAGATTCTCTGTCTAAATAAAATCTAGAATCAACGTCCTGGGGTTAAAATTGAAACAGATCTTAAAAATATTCCTACTAAAATCTACTAGACAAAAACGACTTATTTAAAGAAATGAAAGAAGTAAATGAATGAAATGCCATTACAGATTGTATTATTTTATCTCCAAATCAAGGTTACCAAGAAGCAAAAAATATTTTGTTTACACATTTTGGTCAGTGGCATATTGTTATATGCAATCTCATCCATAGGTGTACTGCAGGTCCAGCTTTGAAGCCACACCAATGTTCAGAGTTATCACAGTTAGCTAGCTGAGTCAAATCGTTGTGTACTGTTGTTTAACAGAACCATGGTGATAAGGGCATGTGAGTTTCTTAGTGATGTTGTTTACTTGGATTTTCCTGTTGAGGTTTTTCTCCCAAAAATTTTATCAGCTGTGTTATGTTGTAAAAATGAAGTCATTTTTCTTCAGCCAACAGCTTAATATTGAAAAAGTTTTTACCTCCAATATTTCATTGTCTAGCAGAACATCTTCATCAGGGAATGAGGCTATGAGGTCTTTCTGCAGCAACCTAGCATTGTCAAGATTTTGGCAAGTGCCAAGTTAGGGTGGCACACTGAGTGTTGTGACAGCTACAGTGAAAACCTCTTTAGCAAAGTCTCTTGGAAATACCTTCCTCTGAACTATTTCAACAATTTCATTTGTCGCTTGAGTGATTTCGTCCACTGTTAGAGGTCCTGTTCTAACTTCAGCACGATTTCGCAGTAAAGACTTAAAACATTGTATCCAAGCTATGGTTTTTTGTAGCTTGTACAACTGTGAGTATCTGTTCATCACTTCTTCCAGCTTATTTTCTACAGTCTGAGATGCAGAAATCTGACAAAAACACAGCCAAATTTGTGCTGTTTTCACTTTCTTGTCATCACTTGGTACATCATCAAAGATATCTGGACTCTTAGGCCATTCTCGCTCTGGCTTCCACAGAAATTCTGGTCCTTTCAGCCACGTCTGGATGGCACCTTCATTGGATTGGTCTAGGTAAACTCCAGGTGATGCATAATCTGCTACATTTTCACCTGAGCTTACATAATGCCACTTTGTCTGCTAAATTCTGTGGCCCTGATGAGCTACAAAGTGACCATTATATGCTTCTTTCAATACATTCTGCCACTATCACTGTGAGACTTACTGAAGACTGACTAAGACAGTGCCAGGTACCAAACATCTGAGACCTCAGAGGACACAGATATGGGCTACTTCACCCAAGACTAGGATGGTCAGTTTGCTGGTCAAGTGGCCCAAGTGACCAGAGAACAGCTGGACAGAAATGTCTCTGTTCAGATTTCACCTTTTGGTTATAGCTAGTATACCCACCCATGGCATGAAGGTTTGAAACAAAAATTATGTATTTAGCTTAATCTAGCTGTCAGATTGGCATTGGAATTGTATTGATTTATTTTGGTTAAATATAATAAGCTGTCTTTTACATTTAAGAGTTCATACTGGACGTGAGCACCTCTACTGGGATCATGCTGGACCCTGTATACACTGGGAAGGCAGTGAGAGGACTGGTCAGGGAGTTGACCACTCAGCCAGGCAGGTTCAAGGGAACAAGGATCCTGTTTCTTCATACTGGTTTGTTTATTGCTAATATATTCTTACTATTGACAGAATTTTTAGAGCATAGCTGATTTAGAAAATTAACTGTTTTTGGGGCTGCTAGGTTTAAATATGACTTACTTTTCTTTCAGCTTATGTGTATTAGTGTGCTTTTGTGATAAGTTTCATTGCTGTTTCAGAGTTTATTTATATCATTGTGTATTCTCACTTCTGACACATATTCAACATGCTGATCACAAAAGAATCAATCAAAAATATGCAAAGCTTAAAATAAACTTTTGACATGAACGTCAACATCAACATGTGCCAAGATTTAATGAAAAGATCTTTTTATTAAAAGAAAGTACCCAGCTTTACTTTGTTGCTTACCAAAGAATTTCACCCAACAACTAATAAATTTCCAGGAGGCGTCTTTGGCTTATTTGATGGACGAATGGCTGGTACTTTGAAGGTTGATAAAAGAACAAGTAAAATCAAGCTGTGGAGATCCTGACGGAGGTCTAGAGAAGATGCCATATTGGTATTGAAACGAGAAGTTTGGCAGTTGGACAAGTAGGAAAAATTATCATTCCAGGCATTATTTGCATTCTTATGGTGTTATAGATATATACAGGCAAAAGATTTGTCTGATTTTTACCAGAATTGTATTTCAAAATTCAGTGCATGGTTTATGTTTCTGATTGCAAAGAAATGGTACAAACAGTGAAGCCATTTTTATGGCTATATGTCCAAAAAAAATGTTATATTGATCATGTTAGCAGGTATCTGTCATAGACATTGTCTACTTCTGGAAGTTATGTATTTATGCTTCAAAAAAGGTAAAAATCCTTGTATCCTATTGCTTAAGATTGAATTAAGTTTGAGATATAATTTTGTTTAATACTTCTGATTTAGCTAAAACAAAATGTATGCCTACTTCGTTGCATGTTAATGCAACGTCAGCCTTGCCATCCCATCTTACAGTGCCTAAAAGAAAAGGGAGTATCACAAATACGAGAGAAAACTGATCAGTTTTTCTGCAGTTTTCTTTTTTTCTTATTTCAAAAGTACATTGTCTAAAAGAAATGGGAATATCACAAATAGGAGAGAAAACTGATTAGTTTTTCTGCAGTTTTTTTTTTTCTTATTACAAAAGTTTTTATTTAGTTTTAATATAATAGATGCTTGAATGGGTGTAGGCTTCCTGAATGTGAACCAAAGGCTAGGTTGCTTGCAGGCACATGTTGTGCTGTCACCTCAACATGATAAGTTGCTGCTGTTTATACACACTAAAGGTGTATGGGTACTGGAACTGTTTCATGTACACGTTGCAGCAATGTTTTTTTCTGCTTGAGTTTTGAATTGATCATTAAGAGTTCTTTCTCTCTATCTCTTGGGGCCATTGGCCTCATATCTTTCTGCTCATCGACCTGTGACACAAAATTTTCTCCCACTAATTCTCCAACATTCATCATTTTCACATTTCCACTATCCATAAGCCGACCTGCAACATGAAGTAAGGGATCCAAAATCCGGCCGGTCAATTCGTCCCATTCTAGTTTACCAAATTTCTTACACCAGGAAGAGGATTCTTAACCCTGCAAAGCCAAGGGAATCAAAACACTGTCGAAAAAAAAGTCCAGGACTGTATTTGGATCATTTCGGGTCTATTAATATACTTTTTGCATTTTTTTTTTTTTTGGTTTATTGCACTCATTGACCCCAATTTAAGAAATGTTGCACATATGCAACACTGGGCTTTAGTGATAACAAAGGATACATGTTTCAGACATTTATTGACCTAAAATATGTTCCTAAAACACAATTCACAACACAACTAAACTAAGTTTTTACAGATTTATGGTTTCCATCGATTCATAAAATGAATTAAAAACAACTGAGCAGTTATATGTCTCCAAGTTTTACCAAATCACCAATCACAAGAGATTCAAATTGCGAATTGGACTGTACTTTACTTATAGAAACATCTATCTGTAGCAATATAAAACAATCTCGACTAACACAATACATCGTCACACCTCTTTTATACCACTACCACTTCCTAAATTCTTACTTCTGTGATGTCTGCTGTGTGAAATAAACTACACACTCCAAGTGGCACTGCCTATTATTGAGTGGGGGTGTGTGGATTGTACTAAGAGCAGGGGTGTAAGGTGTCTGTCCTTTATACTTGGAGAGAGTCCCTCTCCCTCCTCTCAGCCCTGCGGAGACCCTGTCTCTCTGCCTCTACTTGCCACTGTTGGTTTGCATTTTGGACAAGCTCCAGTATCATTCGGCATCTTACTTCTGTATGGTAGACTTCATCACCAAAGACAACTTTGGCAATGCTGCGAGGCATGCAGTTGCCATCTACAGCAACAGCAACAGGGTAGAGATGTTGAGGGACGGAGTTTGGGCGCAGATTAAGTGCCTCACTGTCGACAATGTCTGAAACTTCAAGCACGGTCTTTGGCCAAACTTGTGGAATGGGAAAATCTGAGATTTTGGTTCCTCCTATTGAACAAAGTTGTTCCTACTCCCTGTAGGTGCCACATTCAGACACTCCACGGGACATATTGTCAAAATAGGCACGTCGTGCCTGCGGCGCCTCAGGTGTCTCTGGTTGATCATGATTGGTTTCCTGCTGAGGTGATGTGGCTGGCTGAGGTGCAGGATGGGAAGAGCAAGGCACATCTTTTGTTTTGGCTTTCAATTTTACTATGTCCCACTCGATACCAGAACTGCAGTATTCAGGCTTGTTTATCAAGCATGAGTGACAGAAGCATGACAGTCTCCTTGTGGCTAGAACATTTTCTTGAATGCTCTTAATACTGTGGAGCTTCCTGGTCCCGGGCAGAGTCTTTAAGGACGCTGATGATATTGTATGGTCAACATCCCCTGAGTTGATAATTCTAAAAGACTGTCTTGTATGGCAACAGCCGTGGGTCTGCTCCACGGTTAGAGTGTAATTCTCTGTGCAATGTGTGTACATATCACTGGTACTCTGTATAATTGTACCTGTGAGAAATTTTGCCATATAATTTTTTTTTTTTGTAGTCAGACCACGTAAGGGATTGAAGAAGTAGGTCTTGCGGGTGGTCAAGGAAAATTTCTGTGCAATCTATGATACAACGGAGATTTTTGTATTTTGGATAAAAAATTTGTGGAAGGTTGGAATGAATGAATTCTTTAGGAGGATAAAAAATGAATGGTTTCAAACAAAAAGATAGCACTTAAATCCAAACATAGAGGGTTTTAGAACACACTGAGGGACTAATTTTAACATGGTCTGCCAAATCTTGGGAAAGGAGGGCAAGTTGTACTTTCATTAAAACTAACAAAAACTCGTCTTTTAATTGAATTTTTCTTTTGGGGCCATGTTTCTTGGGTGAAATTCCAAACTTGTCAGGCTTTAAAGTAAGCAAAGTGATTTTAACTCAAAGTTGCTCAAAACAATATTATTAATGATAACATTGTCAATGTTAAGATATTCAAATCGTATTATAGTCCATCTTTCATCCGTGCAACAAAGTAAATTTCATCTGCCAATACCAATGACTACCGAGTTCATGATCCTCTGATGAAACCTTTTGTAACAGAAGATAGAATGTTCTCCAAAGTGAAACAAAGTCAACAAAGAATTCAGAATCTCAGGCTTAGGCTTAGGCTCCATACCATTTCCATAACTGTATATTTTAACAAAATTAATGTCCTCAGAACATTTATCTGGTAATATTACTAGTCCGTCACTTAATACATATTTCATCAGTTACCATATATTTCTCATATTTAATGTCAATATCAGGAAATACAAAAATCCATTCACCAACTGGATCCACAGTTTTTCCTCGAATTCACCAGTTCCACATGACGTTTACGTTAAAGCGAATTGTCCTTTTCTATCGATCTGCAATACCAACACACCAATCCTGGAGTCATATACCACGGCAAATGAACAAATTTCATATGACATCCAAGATGTCTTTTCAAGTTAGTACTGGACACCAGACACAATCCACACTGAACTTCTTTCCTCTGTTTCTTCCTGCACTTTGTGTGGGCAACTTCCTTCCCCTCTTCAACAATTTGGACAGTAGGATCTTCCACCATATCTTTGTCATCATAATCAGGGACAAAATAGGCTTCATCTAGCATGTCTAAATCATCCATATCTGAAATAAACTAATTACATGGTTTATTTTCTGGAATAAAAATGACATGATAATGATCTTTTATTTCAAGTGAAAGTTAACAGTATTACGTTAATAACATAGTATTACATCACTAACATAGTATTACAGCCTTGCCGCATTTACTATGTACACCTATTATTCAAACATAAACTAATTCAAATTACTTTTATAATAAATTTCTATGGAATATTTTATCATGAACCTAGCTCTGCTACCATTATACAATAAGAAAAGAATTGTTACCTCAACAATTCCTAATCCGACTACATGCAAAACTATAATCTAAAAAATATGAAAGTAGGTGTTCATTGCATCTGATCAACAACAAAATTCAAACAGATATTAAGAAAACATATACCAACTTGGACTGTTGATTTGATCAAGTTACCTGAAATATAATAGGAAGTACAAACTATCAGATACTTTATGAATATCTCTTTATTTTGTCATATGTCTCTCTTAATAATTGTTAAGTTTATGTCTTAAATAATAGATTAGTTTAAGGCATTCTTACTTTGGTTTTTTATTTTCATATTGTTCCAGGTTCTCTATTATCCAGTCATAGCCTTTTTCAACCAGTATTCCCTCTTTCCACATTTTTCCAAGATATATCAAAGTTTTTGACTCCCATAACGCAGTCACTTCCAAATTTCTTATGGCATAATAATATAAAGTTTCTGGATTTTCAATCCATTCTCTAGACCATGGAAATTCTTTCTTCTTTTAATATTTGCAACATATTGGTTTCATTCATAATCTAAATAAAAATACAAATAATTAAATTCCTTTTATTTTAGCACTGCCGAAAATTAAAGGAAGTATTAATATACAACTATATCTTAACTAATTAACAACATATACATCAACATAATCATTCTAAGGTAAAATCTCTTAAATGAGATGGCATCTTAATTTGTCTACCAAATCTTGATCTTTTTACAATTGGTTCCACCAGCTGTGATAGTAGTAACATCCGTACTATAAGTAACAAAAGAATTTCATTTTTTTCTATTGTTATGTCATTTGAACAATGGAAAACCTATAGCGAACAATGGGGGATGTTTACAAAATAAACAAACAATTTTTTAAGTAAACAAACAAGACTCCCTATTTTTGTTTACGTTTTACTATGGTAACGGATGACGTCACAGAACGGGCCTGGGCTTGATATTAAAACAGTAGGAGATTTTAAAGAATTACTAAGGATAAAGGGCATAATATAGTGACAAACAAGTATAGTTGTAAATAAAAACATGATTTTATTAAAATCTTCCAGCATTGTAAGAAGTTGATTATAGTGATTTAACAGTTGTATGTACACATTAAAACAATGGACATAAATGTCTATTTTACTGAAAGATAATAATTATGATACATAATTGCATTACAAGTTGATTATAGTGAATTATCAGTTGTATATACAGATTAAAACACCAAAACAATGTATGTACAACAAAATGAAAGATGATAATTATATAAACAACACTACTCAGCAGTTTATGAAATTTAATAGCCGTATGGTAGTGTATCA